GTTCCCCTGTGTTTGAGTGTTGCTCTTTATTTAATGTTATAATTTTAGAGTTTTTAAATCCTGGTAGCGAGATTTTGTTCATTTTTATGGTTTCTTCCTTTCTGTTGAAATTGTTGACATGCTTGTGGATTTCAGTGGCTTCTCTGTGTAGCCTGATATGGTAGTTGTTAGAGTGGTCCAGCATTTTGGTGTTCTCAGATAATACTCTATGTCCAGGTTAGTTCATCAGGTGCTCTGCTATGGTTGACTTCTCTGGTTGAAGTAGTCTGCAGTGCCTAAATAAATAAAGAACAACACTCAAACACAGGGGAACTCCAGACAAGAAACAACCAGGGACAGCTAATCACCTCTTAACAAGGGATTCCCCCACAAGCCACACCTAAAAACCGTCAGGCCATCAAATGCTAATCAAGGTGGCTAATTAAAACATTCACACCTAGCTCCAACAGACAAGAGTTCTTTCCACATATATATAAACCCAATTTTCCTAGTTTCTAACAGACCTCACAACCTCTGAGGATGCCTGGTTTGGTAAGGCACTCTTCCAGGGAATTCTAAATGTCCCTCCTCTAAAAGTCCAAAATTCAAGATTCCATAGGATGTTGCCACGACAGTTAAAGTAGAAGAAGCATAGCAGTATAACTGTGTAGTGTGAAAGAGCCATGGCTTTGCTCTCATGCATCAAAATTAAGGAAGGGCCGCATGATACCTTTTCAAGCACTGAGCTTAATCTTTCTACTGAACTAAGATCAAGTTTCAAGACTGGATGTATTGCATCTTGATCTCAGATAATGTTTTGTGACATTTTTGCATGTCTAATTAGATATCTTCTTTTGGGGGAAATGAACACCTTTTAAGATGGACAGTTTCTATCATCTATTTGCATTATAGCTCAAGAGCCCTTACGGTACCTTCTATCCATGATACAACCCAAGGCAACAATGTATGAGATTGCCAAGTAGTTTCCCAGCCATACAAGTCATCACACTGATGCTGTTACCCCAGGAAGAAAGCCTCATCGATGATTTCAGGTCATAAAAAGAGTCTTGCCTAACCCGACACCCATCAAATGTTTTGTGCCTACAAGCCCAGTTGTCCCCAAAATACCATTACTAATGTGTGTTGCTTGAGGATGATAGGAACTGTAGATGCATCTAGTGCATGCTAGGTTGAGAAGGATTCTGCTACATCTAATAAACTTGTATATAAACTTGTACTGTCAGAAATATGAAAAATTAATTAGGTATTTTTAATTACAAAAATGTGAGTCAAGCACTGAAAGAATTAGCAGGCCAAATCCTGTTAAGAGTCAGTGGTCCAAAGCTAGTGTCATCCTGAGGAGAGTGAATAGGGTGAAGCCTGTTAGAGTTCATGAGCCAAAGCTAGTGTCGTCCTGAGGAGTATGATATAAACCTCTGTGTGAGAGAAGCCTCATGTGAGAAAGCTCCAGTATGAGAAAGGTCCAGTATGCTGTGTGTAAAGCCACTATGTGTTTGTTTATTTGTGTTATGGAAACCTTGTTGTTGTAAATAGTGCAACCACATTATTTTACTTCCTATGGAAGAGATAACATTGGTCTCTGTGTTTTTGTTCTTTTTATCACTTTGGGCTACTGGTGCTAGGTCATGCTGCTGCTAATAAGTTACTCTGCTGTACATTTATGAGAAGGGTCTTTTGTTGATAACCCCACTTGCCCAACATTTACTACATATTTATTACATAAGTGCCTTTCTTTTTGAAACAATTTCACTTTTGAAAGCTTTGTATGCAGATAATTGCTTTCAAGCATGTTCTGTGTGTTCATCATGCAACTTCTTGGTGTCCTGTGTTGTTACTTGCTACTTTTATTTGCAGAGGCACAGTTATAGTTCATTTAGCAAATAGTTATAATTATTCCAAATTTTATGTCATGCCAGGTTTTTAGTCTATAAGAGCCTAAAATGAAACTGTCTTTTCAGTAACTATTTGTTGTAGTAGAGCCTGTGGGTAACGTTATAAACAGTAGTATGGGTGCCAGAAGGGAGAAAAGGGTTATTCAGGGGCAGGAATCTGATGATGAGCAGCAGAGAAGGAGGATCCGGGACATATTTACAGCACCTACAGATGAGGAGTCATTTGAGGGATTCTCTGGGGATGATGGGTCAATGAGTGAAGGAGAAGAAGGAGACACCATGGATTGGACTAAGATAAGGGAAGTGCAAGCTATTTGTGAGGAGCCAACAACTAGTGATACTTTATGGGGTTCTCTGGGGGTGAAGACTGGCAATCAAGGGATCTAACTAAGTCTTGGGGGAACCTAAGTCTTGAAAGGAGATGGAGGAATTGGAGGGAAGGACAAGGGAATTCACGTGGGGAGCTGGGAGCAGCTACGGGGAATAATGATGGGGCGGTTGTCAGTTCATCTTCTGATGATGATTTGTAAATAAAAGTGAGTTCAGGGGTGATGGGTCCTTGCAGAATGCAAGGTGTTGATGAACGTTTGTGTGTTGGGTGCTGTGTATTGGAAAAGATTCTTGTAGACTTGCTGCTGCCTGTTTCGTGTTTGGCGTTGGTATAGGATCTGCAGTTAGGACCTCCTGATCGTTTTAGTGTTATTGACCCGGATTGGTGAATGTGGACTTCTCCCTTCCTGGACCTGGATTGGTTTGGCTAAAGAAGCTGCTTCTGCGGACACTGGAGCAGCGCTGTTTCGGATTCCTCCAGCTTTAACCCTGGACTTCGGCTGACGATGCTTCTCTTCCTGCGGCCCCTCCTTTTGTTAACCATTTGTGTACTGTGCCTTTCTGTTTTGCCTCAGAGCGCTTTGTTTGATTCATTGGTTTTGCATCCAGTTAATCTGGATTATATTTCTGTTAACCTTTTTGGAACAGGTCTGGTTTGTTTCTTGAGTTTTGACCAGTTGCACTGCATTTAAGTACCTCTGCGTCCTTTTTCTTTTGTTTTTATAAACTTTTTTGAAGCCACTTTTGAGTCTGGCCCTTTAAGGTGTCTGTGATTCCAACACTATGACTAGGTAAAGGTGGGATGAAGGCAGCTTCTGTTCTATAAAATGCATAATTCACACATCCGAAACAAAAATGTCCAAATGTGCCTGACAGATATTTATGAATCTATATATTATACAGGTATTCTCAGTAGACTGCTAGAATTGGCACATCTCTTGTATGTGTATAAACAAATGCCAAATGTGGATTTGTTGCTTCCTAAAATCCGAAGCTAGATGAGAAAGGAAGCAAAACAAATCTCAGAAACTCAAAATGGTACTGAAAATATATGTTGAACTTTAATAAAATAGAATTTTATTTATATCATTGACAGTTTTATTCTTGACAATTTTTGTGCTCCTCCACCTGCGCTCTTAGGCTATTAAGCTTAATGGCTGTGAATTCCATATATTGAGTGCATTTTAAGAGGAATTACCTTTCTTAATCATACCTTCAGGATATGTGTATAAAGTGTTTATGAAGCAGAAATTAATTATAGGTTTAAACTTGGGTCCCTGCTCCAAAATATTTCATTATATAAAGACATGCAAATGACAGCTATTCCAAAATCAGAAAAAAATATGAAATCCAAAATACTTCTGATCCCAAGAATTTTGGATAAGAGATATTTGACAAGTATGCGATTGCACCATAACTACATGTGCAGTTCTCTGTCCTTCCTCTTTCTCTTTCCACCACAGCTGACTACCACTCAATCTATTATTTATTTGTATTGTCGAAGGCTTTCATGGCTGGAATCACTAGGTTCTTGTGGGTTTTTTCGGGCTATAGAGCCATGTTCTAGAGGCATTTCTCCTGACGTTTCGCCTGCATCTATGGCAAGCATCCTCAGAGGTTGAGAAGGTCTGACCTTCTCAACCTCTGAGGATGCTTGCCATAGATGCAGGCGAAACGTCAGGAGAAATGCCTCTAGAACATGGCTCTATAGCCCGAAAAAACCCACAAGAACCTATTATTTATTTATTTGCTTTATTTGTATACCGCTCTTCTCAGCCCTTGGGCGACTCAGAGCGGTTTACAACAGTTTAGGTAAACAGGATACAAAATCATTATGCATTTAAAATACAGAAGCATCACAAGTCATTAACATCATTAACATAGGCATCAAAACATCAATACATCAATATAACAAATCCATCCGGTCTAGTCGGTGAAATCAGAATCCAAATATGATACTAATACTGTGCTATGCTAACAATATATGATAATAGACATATAATATTGATAATATTGTAATGTAATACAATATAATACTTATACAATATATAATAATACCAATAGTGTGCTATGCTAATAATGTAATACATTGAAAGTGTAGTATGAGTATGAGCCAGAGGGGCCCACTAAACCCCTCTATCCCATTTGATCAAGTGGACTTAAAAGGGCGATGACTTAAGGGCGTCTCTCTAACTGTCCCTCTGCTTTTGGGGGCGAACAAGGCCAAGCCCCTTTTAAGAGACTCTTTTTCTTTCCCTTACAGATATAACCTTGGCTTCAAAAGAGAAAGGCGCTACTCAATCTAGATGGCATTAAGTCCCTGTGAAAGTTGTTATAATGCAATCTAATGTAACATTTTATGTCTGTTGTGGGGGCACCATGACCAGTGCCACTAGCTGTCATCACCCCATATTTTTGGCAGGCATCAAATTACTGGCCCGATATTCCAGTTTGAAATTAAAACTGTAACAACATTGAAGGTCAGATTCAAGGCTTCCCTTCAAAAGGATAGCAAATTTATTTAAATTATCTTTCCTGAATCACTATAATGCCCTTGAATACATGGACGGCGTGATATCTCTTGAACGTGCACCTTTGAGAACCGCTTTGTCTCCCGTCCCACAGTAGCTGATCCATACAAGGTCTTGCAGCTGGTACACAGTTCTGCCTAAAGATCACCTGGTTGCTTACATAGCTGCAGAATGTCTTCTCCTGAAGAAGAAACATGCCCACTGAAATTTACTCATCCAACACCCTCTTTCTTTGCTTTCTCCACAGGGTTCTGGCTAGTATGGACGATCATCATCATACTGAGTTGCTGTTGTGTTTGCCATCACCGACGCGCAAAGCATAGACTTCAGGCCCAACAACGGCAGCATGAGATTAACCTGATTGCCTACCGGGAAGCACATAACTACTCCACTCTGCCATTTTATTTCCGTATGTACTGCATGCAAGGAGCAGACTGCCTTTTAAAGAACAAGATCAAAACATTGCTGTGTTGGGTGGGTTCAACCTGTCCAGCTGAGAGTCACAGCCAAAGTGGTGGGAAGGGATGTAGAGGTGGGCGTGTGACTGGTGCGGAGAAGGTGGCACACGGTAGCTATCTAGAAGACTCAGCCCTGTCCTTCTTGTCATCTTGACTGAACTGGCTCAAATCAGCATTGCCACTAACCCTGTTTTTAAAGCAAGGTCTGAATTCTGTGGATAAAATGACCAGGTTGCCTAGATAAAGATCTGAAGTGACTTTACCTTTGGCATTTGACTTATTTTCCAGCCTTTAACAGTTCATCAGATTGCTGTAAAAGGAGGAACTGGTTTAGTGAATTGGGTTTCGATACAACAGTTACAAAGCTAAAGTTGAAATCTCCTTCCCACACGTTTTCCTTTGTAAAGTTGACACAGCAGTAGTGTGGTTGGAAGCAGTGTGTGCAAAGTGATAGGAGCAGACAATAATAATAATAATAATAACAATAACAACAACAACTTTATTCAAAGGGACTCGGGGCAGCTTACGTGGGAACCAGGCCCAGAATAAACAAAGGGTTACAAAGTAACACAATTAGAACATATAACAATAAAATACAAGTAAAAACAATAAAATCGAAACAGTAAAAATATTTTTAAAAATATTTCAATCAACATCATAACCAGTAGCCAGGAAAAGTGGACATGCTCAGATTGGATAGGGCAGGGCAAGGGCTTGTACAAACGCAAAGCTATAGGGCCGGGCCGGAAGTAAAGTGCTAGGAAGTCAAAACCATAAGTTAGGGTTGGCAGTCTTAATCAGACGCTAAACCGTTATTCAAAGGAACATAACCAGTAGCCAGGAAAAGTGGGTATGGTCAGGTTTAATAAGGCAGGGCAAGGACTTGTGCAAATGCAAAACTGTAGGGCCGGGCCAGAAGTAAAGTGCTGGGAGGTCAAACCATTAGTTAAGGTTGGGCAGTCCTAATCAGGCACTAAACCATTATTCAAAGGCACATTGGAACATCCAGGTTTTCAAGTCTTTCCGGAAAGTAGACAGGGTTGGGGTTAATCTAATCTTCCTGGGGAGAGAATTCCAGAGCTGGGGGGCCATCACAGAAAAGGCCCTCTCTCTCATCCCCACCAACCGTGCTTGTGATGGAGGTGGGAGCAAGAGAAGGGCCTCCTCGGCAGATATTAGGGTTCATAGAGGGAGATACGCAGGAGATACGCAGGGCCGGAACCTTCCAGATCACATGTAGGGTGCTGTGACCAAAGGCATGGGTGAACTTTGGCTCTCCAGATGTTTTGGATTTCAACTCCCACAGCCTGTAAGCTGGCTGGGATTTCTTAAAATTGGTTCAAAATACCTGGAGGGCCAAAGTTTGTCCATTTGTACTGATGACTGATATCACCTTATTTTGCCTTTTCTGTTTCTAACAATTTTAAAAAATACAACAGAGGTGCTTCATCCATTCAATCTCCTTTCTTACCATATCCTATCTAAAAGGAAAAAATAAGATTGGGGGAGGGAAATAGTTTGCCAGAACAGGCAGAAAGATCAGGGATAAGAAGGGCTGTATTGTTGAAAAAGAAGAAGATAATGGTGTAAGGAGTAGTTTATTTCTGAGAAAACCCTCTGTAATTGTTGTTGTTATTATTATTACTATTATTTCTTACCTGCTTCTACCCATGGATCGAAGCATAAAACAACAACAGATGAAACATTTGACATCACAAAAAAGAGCCTGTAAGACAATAATGCATTCATGGGCAGTTTGTGGTTGCAGAGACAAAAGTGACTTCAAATGGGATCCATCTTTTTGAAGTCTATTGTTCAATATTGAATTCTTAGGCTTACGTTGGTAGCAGGACATCATACATTCATTCCGGTTCTTCCCAGATTCCCTCTCTGAACTTTTGTCTAGTCCCCAGAGAGACAATAGAAATCATATCTACATTAGAAGCTCCCAAAAATTTGTCTCAGATTATATATACAGCATCTGGGTTTAGGCTGTTTTGCTTGAATTTCTTCCATGTATAGAATGAGGCAGTTACTGCTTCCTAAAATGTGTCAGAATGGGATTTTAAAAATCAGTGTAAATAATAGACAAATGCCAAAGGGGTGCTGCATTTTTAGAGGTATATCTGTTTTTTTGTCAACATTGAATTTTGATAGATCAAAATAATCTGGTAGTAACTTGTCCTCCCTGCCTCCCCATTTAGGATTTTTGCCAAATTATTTACTACCTCCCTATGAGGAAGTGGTGAATCGACCTCCGACCCCTCCCCCACCATATAGTGCCTTACATCAGCAATGTATCCCGCCTGGTGGTGGCAGTGCAACACCGGACACAAGAAACCTACAGCCATCCCAGACGGGGGGCTCTCTGTCGGGAGCAGGAAGCAATAACGGAAGCACGGACACCACTGCCTCCCTCAACATTGGGGATCCCGAATCCTCCGCCCCGCTAGATGAACGATCAACCACCAAAGCAGCCAGTGGTGAGCCAAGGAACTCCAACAGCCAAGCAGAGTTAGAAGAAGTTCCTGACCATGTATCCTGTCCTGATAAAGAGTCCGAGTGCAAGGAGGAACTGCTTAAAGATTACAACTCAGAAAGCTTAGACCACAGCAGCGCCTTCTCCGATGCTAAAGACAAGACGCCGGGCAGACACCGAAGGTTCACCGGTGACTCGGGCATTGAAATCTGCATCTGTAACCAGGACCACCATGATAGTGATCTCAAAGAGTTGGATGGACTCATTGATGACAGGCCCATGGATTTCTGTGACAGCTGCAGTGGCCGCCCTCCCCACGGGGATGAGGAAGAAGGGCTTTTCAATGTCTCGGATGAGCAGCAGCCAGAGCATAACCACCACCACCAACTTCCCCGGCAGCCTGCATGCGTGCTTCTGAACACCATAAATGAGCAGGACTCTCCAAATTCTCATGTCAATACATCCCCCAGCTAAAACCATAATGGTTAGAAGGGAAGATCTACAAAAGGATAAATCCAACTTCACAACCAAAAACAAGTTGGTTCACATTTTTTCTTCGGATGTAACCATGGGAATAACTGTACATCTGTGGTGGAGAAGGCAGAAACTCCTAAGCTTTTCTTTTTCCTAAATGGACCCCCCTCTTCTCCATCTGGTCGGGGGCTTGAGATACAATGTGTGAGAGGAGTGTGCAAAACTTTTTTCTGCTTCTGGTTTTGGTGATGGTTTAGTCGGTTAGTAGTTTTATTAAAAGTTTTCAAGACCTTTTTCATGTTATGGTCATAAAGACTTAATCTGACCATATGAGAACAAGGAGTAGCTTACCTTTCCAGGTGTCTTCCCAGAAGCTGGTGGCATTGGACGGCCTTGGCCGTTCTGTCTGGTTAGTGTTGTTGAAGGGTTAGAATTAATTCCCGGAGGTGTGTGGGTGGTTGTTGGTTTCTTTTTTTAAATCAATACAGTGCTGTAATCTTTGGTGCATTGTTGATTATAGCAACCTGTAAGAAACGTTTTCCTCTCGAAGCTGATGACTGTCAAGGACCAGTTTCTTCCTTTATCCCCAGTCCCCCCAAAGAACTCTTAGCCTGAAACATAATGTTTATGCAAAGAGGGGTTGCAGATTGTTGCCTTTTGTTTTTATTTTCATAGGCTGACGTATTCCTTCAGTTGATGCCTCTAAAGAGCACAGCTATGAATTGAGCCTCTCTGCCTTTTTCCAGTACTGTGGTCTCTTTAAATAACATTCAGCTGGTGTGCTTCAACGCAAAAGGGCAGGGACTTTGCAACTTTAGGCCAGCACACTAGTTAAAGTGACAAAACAAAACCAAACACATACACACAAACAAAGAACAGGGCTTTTTGGCCGGCGTGCCTTCAGGTTTCAGTGATGCTTGTTGAACAAATGGAGGCAAGACTCCGTCCACTGCAAAAGGATGACTTTCAGCATCAACGTGGAAGACCTGTGCAGTATTTTCTTTTCTAGTCCAAATGTTAGTGTGATTTTCAAAAGTGACCACTTTAAAAAGAACTGAGTGTCTGTGTTTCTCTCTCTCTCGATAGCAGCAACAGGCTACTGTATAATGTCTGTGAGTGTGTGTGTGTCTGACTGCAGTACATGCATGTGTGTTTCCTATTGGTGACATGAAACTTGCTGCTGTAAGACTGCAAAAAGCAAACAAAAAAACCTGTTGCTTTGCTTTAACCAAACAGTGAACTTTTGTTAGTAATGACCCCAAAAGGGGAAAGGTGGAAAACCCTCAAAAGAGCTGAAACTAACATTCCCCGGAGCGTTCCTGTGGAAGAGAGAAAGGCTTGGTTTCTATATTAGTGTGATAGAGTTTTGTTTTGGTTCCTCCTTTCCCCTCTTCTTTAATTACGGTTGTCTAGGTCATTTATTGTAATAAAACGGACTCAGATTTGATTGCTTGAAACCAAAATCCGTTTGGGACATGGTGTAATCCCAAATATAATGCCTTTTTTCTGATAATTTATGCTCTTGTGTCTCATTTTCGCTGGGGATAAACCAGGGTTGTACATCTGGGTGAAAGAATAATCATTTATTTTTTGCGTTTTGCAAGACACGTCTCAAGCATGAACTTTGTTTAGTCTATATTGTCTAGACATGGATTGACACAGAGAGAACACATGGTTATCTTTAATAGAGAATATAGATTACTCTTTAAGGTAGGTGTCTATATGTGTGCACGCCTGAAAGTAAATATATACAGTGTATTGGAGATAGGTTTAGCACTTCTCCACTCAACCATCCTTCATATATGTACTACAACAACAATGGGCAACTATGCAATATTTGGGGGCCAGATGTGCCCTCACAGAACCTTGAAGGACTTGGACTTCCATCCTCCATTTTTTAAATCAAAAGTTCCTTTCTTTACTGTAGAGGTGGACAACAATGGAGGGAACAGGGGCCATTTCTGTCCTGCATTCAGTGCCCACACAGGAGGCTACAGTGAGGCATTTCATTAACACAGAAGTGATGTGATGTCACTTCGGCTGCAGTTTAGCTGATCTTTTTCTTTTTGAGAGTGGTTCGGAGGCTCTGCGGGGTTGAAGAAAAGAAACCATCAAATCTTCAATAAGTTTTTGGACAAAAAAATCTTAGTGCATTGGAGGATACAGAATGGCACTTAGAGTCCCAAGGATCACACCTCATTCACCCCGATCTAATGGGTATGATACATTTTCTGCCTATTTAAATTCCCATCTCCCCAATTCTCAGGCAAGTCATTTTGCCAAAGCAGGAAATCCAATTGAAGTCAATTCCATTTTGGGTAATGTCAAGAAGACTCCATGGGTCTAGAGCAATAAAATTGCTCCCTTTGGTCCCACAGAAAGCATGGGAAGCATTTTGATAAAAAAAAATATCCATAAACATTGTGGAGGGAATAGGGCAGGGAATAGTTACAGATAGGATTTGAAGTAGTTTCTCTGTACAGATAACATAGAGCATCTTTCTTATAATCAACAGTCCACAGTCTAAAGCATCTCTCTGTTCTGAGAGTCTAATAGAGTTTCTGTCTAGTCTGAAACTCCAGTGGAGTCCGAGATCTAAAATTGAGTCTGAGCTGAACAGGTTCCAGATCTGATCACATGGTCTGCAGTCCCTCCCACAACATAGAGTTAAGGAAAACTGTATACCAACACACACATATACGTACAATACAGTAAGCAATCTGAATTATATATGTAACAAATAACTAGTGGAGGCTTGAAGAAGCCTATTTCCAACAATTTCCAGTGTAATACTTAGGGAAGATTGCATAACATGCCCAGAATGTATAGCATGCCACTTTTTGTTAAACTGAATAACAATTTAGATTCTAAGTATTTTTCCTGTATTATTATTTTTCTTCTCCACAGCATACAAAAAAGAGTGGAGAGTTTCAGGACTTCAACTCACTATGGACTGAGGTCAAGTGTTTTATTTATCTTTATCCTTTATGATTTCGTCTAGTGAGGAGGGGGCTCAGTACAACTCACAACATATTTTAAAAACATGCCTCTCCCCGAACAAAGTTACAGTATTAAAACACAACTAAATAAAAGATCATTGTTAAAACAGCAGCTGAATTAGAAGTAGTGAGAAACACAACAGAAATGTAAATACACATACACACCTCATATTAATGAGAGTTATGGTTCAGCAATGGCTGAAGGGCAATAGATTCTTCATTTTTATTGTGTCCAGATAGATAACAAATCAAATGGCACATTTATTCACGCCAACTAATATAATTTGGAAAGCAAACCTGAATAAAGTGCTCCTCTGGATCAGACAAATTACTTTTCTAGTCTAACACATTTTCCCACCCCAGTAGCCAGCTCAATGTCTTTGAACAAAGCACTAATTGGGTTTGAAGGCCTAGCTCTCATCCGTACATGGTGCTCATCAATTGGATTCAGTGGCATACTACTTACTGTGTAATTCCATGTAATTTTCATGCCTGACAGTCATTAATTAGACCCAGTTTCCTTCATGGAATCTGTCCAACCATTTTCAGAAAAACTACATTTCTGACCATCACATGATATAGTAGCAAATCTCATACATCAGTGATGCCTTATGTGGAGTGTCTCCCTTTTCTGTCTTCAATCTCTGGGCAGTCATTTCCATTGGTTTTTCTACTACTGTGAATGAGAAAGAATTTCTCTCCCACTTTCTTCATTCTGTGCATTTTGTTTATATACCTTGTTATTGTGAAGTTTGTGAGTTTATAAGTCAAAATGCACAAACTGATTCAGTTTTTTTTAATTCTACGCTATTTCTTCTGAAAAGGACGATCAAGCTGTCAGTAATATTCCAAAGGTGATAGATAGATGATAGATAGATAGATAGATAGATAGATAGATAGATAGATAGATAGATAGATAGATAGATATAGTATATTTAATTCTTTCCTTTTCTTCAGAATCGCTAGCATGGAATTTGCCCCTTTTTTAACCCACCACAAATGGAATTAATGTTTTTGTTGCACTATCAGCTATGGTGCCAAACTATTTCCTGGTTTAGTCTGTAGAGAGAAATATTGACTTGGGGAAATGTTTGTGTCAACCAAATGTTTTATGGAGACACTGAGATGATAATACAAATGGCTGTCATTTTGTGAAAGCCCATAGGAAATTAAGGAAGCCTGACCAGCTTACTTAAAAGGCACCTGTTTACTTAGCCCTTGTGAATGTATGGCTTGTGCACACATGTTTAGAGGTAAGTAAAGTGCAACAGCTACCTCAAAGCCAGACTGTCTTCACTACATGTGGAATATGAGAAAGTATTTCTTTCTGGACTTGTTTGCAATTGGAGAGCAGCTGTGTTCCGAGGGCGCATGCTTTTCCAGTTCATCTGGCCCCATGCCCAGCTTAGAGGGCCCACAGGTATTTCGGTATTATTCTCTTGTGTCTGCTGTAAGAAAAACAACCAACTTGCTCTGTTCTTGCCTACGGTATCCCCTGGGACAGTTGTGTAACTTGGTGTAATTACCCAGGAGCCTGAAGCATCTTGAGAACCAGTATAGCTTCTGAAGAAACGGTCATAAACAGAGATTCCACTTGACATCAACAAACATTGCTCATAGAGTTGGGTGGTTCTTTTAGCACTAATTAATTCGGTGATTGCCAAAAATGAATGGTAGAGTTTAGAATGGTGAGGCAGATGTAGCCTGTTTTGGGAAGCTTTCGCTTGCTGTGACTTTAAGTTGTCACACTGAGTTCATGAGTTGAAAACCACCCTAATTTTCTTGCTCCTTATCACATGCTGTGCAACTGCTCTGGATAACAGAAAATGAATTTTCATTTCTAGAAACAGAATTTTTTTTCTGCCACTCCCTTAGCCACACTATAAGGCGGCATTTCTCAAACTGGGGGTTGGGACCCCGGGGGCGGTCACGAGGGGTTGTCAGAGGGGTCACCGAAGACCATCGGAAAACACAGTTGTTTCTGTTGGTCATGTGGGTTTTGTGTGGGAAGTTTGGCCCAATTGTCTTATTGGTGGGGTTTAGAATGCTTCTTGATTGTAGGTGAACTATAAATCTCAGCAACTACAACTCCCAAATGTCAAGGTCAATTTTCCCCAAACTGCATCAGTATTCACATTTGGGCACCTTGAGTATTTGTGCCAAATTTGGTCCAGAGCCATCATTGTTTGACTCCACAGTGCTCTCTGGATGTAGGTGAACTACAACTCCAAAACTCAAGGTCAGTGCTCACCAAACCCCTCCAGTATTTTCTGTTGGTCATGGGAGTCCTGTGTGCCTAGTTTGGTTCAATGTCATCATTGGTGGAGTTCAGAATGCTCTTTGATTGTAGGTGAACTATAAATCCCAGCAACTACAACCCTCAAATGACAAAAATCAACCCCCCCCCCCCAACCTCATCAGTATTCCAATCTGGGCATATCAGATATTTGTGCCAAATTTGGTCCAGTGAATGAAAATACATCCTGCATATCAGATATTTACATTACGATTCATAACGGTAGCAAATTTACAGTTATGAAGAAGCAACAAAAATAATTTTGTGGTTGGGGATCACCACAACATGAGGAACTGTATTAAAGGGACTTCTGGCTCCATTTAATAAATAATAATAATAATAATCATCATCATTTTATTTCTTGCTTACCTCTCCTAATGGCTCAAAGCTGAGCTGTGCTCCGCCCTGAGTCCCCTTCAGGGTGAGAAGGGCAGAATATAAATGTTTTAAATAAATAAATAAATAAAACAAGTTCCAACATTTCTGAAACGCACAATCAAAACACATAATCATTTAAAAACACTAGAAAACACATATTGAAATATATTTCAATGCGATTTGGAGACGGAACACCACAGAAGTCCTATGGGGGCCATCACATGACATAAGGGCACTTTCAATGGGACACCGTGGGACTCTGTTTCCACAGCGCATGAAAGTGAGCCAGAAAGGACATGAAGTGGCTGGCCATTACTGAAGATGGAGAAAAATGCCAGGGAACAGGGTAAAAATTCTCTCCACTTTTCCCCCACCCATCTGATGAAGTCCAAAGATACAAATGAAAGGCCATGTGCCCCAAGTTTTGCTCACACAGTGGCCAATCGGTTGCCTAGCAGTGGTTTCCAACCTTTGGGCTTCCAGGTGTTTTGGGCTTCAGTTCCCAGAAATCCCAGCCAGCTTACCAGGTGTTAGGAACTGTGGGAGCTGAAGTCCAAAACACCTGGAGGCCCAAAGGTTGGTAACCACTGGAGGAAGCATGATAGCAGGAGACAACATCAATCACACCCTCCCTCACATGTCCAGCAGCTGAAACCAGCATGTTCCTTCTGCTAACCAGAAATTGTATCTAGCCATCTTGACTAGTTGCTGCCGATGACACCATCCTGCATTAATGTATTTAGTCCTCATTTGACGCAGTCCCAGCTGGCCATTACCATACACCCTGCGGTAATGTATTCCACGATCTAACTATGAACTGTATGAAAGAGTACTTCATAT